AACATCAACATATAAATAATTTCCCATGCTCTCTGCTACAGGCAGTCTGCAAATGCAGTGATTTATTGGAAGGCAGAGACTACAAAACTGCCTCTCATCATTTCATCAACTTAATCTGTCACAGTGGCATACACAGAATCAAACACTAACCCACAATTTCCAAATGAGACACAGAAGGGAAGGGGAGAGAAGTGGAAAGGGGAGAAAAAGAGAAGGCAGAACTGGATAGCCACATAAGAAAGGGGCACTAGAGCTGCTATGAACACTTTCCAGCATACCAACCAGCAGAAGCATCACTACTTACACATCTATATCTTATGCCTACATAACGTCCTTTCAGAACATTTCCAAAGCATCACCCAGATGATTTCACTATCACCTATTAAGTCTTTTCCTACAGGCTTTACTGGGAAGAAAGAGACAGGCTAGAACCTTTAGTCCCTTAGTAAATGTGTGCTTGTTCAAAAGGTTCGACTGCCCGTTGACTGTTCTCATTGTCGTATAACATAAGTCTTCCAGTAAATCAGTATTGTCAGGGTATGTTTTCAGATGTTTTAGGAACAATACCTGTTAGAAGGTGGTGGCTGCTGCACTTGAGGACCCCGACCAACTTGTGAAACAGCTACTTTTGTAAGCCCCAGCATTTCCTGTAGTCAAATACGTAAGATTTTATTACAAAACTTGTTTACGGACTATGTGACTATCTTCATCAGCATCATACCGATGATTTATTTTTTGTATGCTTTTGTGCATTACCTGCAGCTGTTTTGCAGATAGGTCCTTTGTTCCTCTGAAGACATAACTTTTGGAAATTCCTTCGCATCCAAGCTCATGAACTTGCACCATTCGGCCAAAGGTAATGAGACCAACTAACGCAGTTGGTGGCAGGAGGCTGAGCGACATTTGCATGGATTCCTTCAGAGCTTGCAAGTCTTCATCTTCCATGCAGGTGTCCACAACGTACAGAAATATCAAAGGCATCTGAGGACCACGCTTTAAGAAATGCAAATACAATCTCATGAAAAACAAATCTCACAGTATTATTTTCATTTTTGATCCTGTAAATAAAGTACATTTGTAGAAGTTTTCATTTTAATCACACCAATAATGTCAATGTTTCATCTAATTTACCTCCCTCTCAAGTAGCAATCAGTACCTGGGGCTAAAGAGGAATGAAACCCCTACCATAATGAGCTCTGCACAAAATTCAAATGCTTACTACAGGAGAAAAAAAAAAATCCTTTCAAGAACTCATGAGAGTTTTGGAGCATGTGTCAATTATATAAATATTTTAATATATAATGAGCTGTTATTGCTCCAAGTGAACGTGATAGTCATAAAATTATTCACAACTATAAAATATTCCAACCTGATAACATTCTGTGGTATTTCACCTCTTAATTTTACTCTAGAGATCATCGGTTCTTTTTATTCTTTCTAAGCTAATCTTGCTGTACTATGAGCAAGTATCCCCTTTACTTTGTGTTACAGGAGTTGGCAAAAAGCAGAGATTCTGTTCGGACTTCACTCTTTTTAATCTGAATGCCTCACTGAAGTCTTACAAATTTTAATCCTCAAAAATGGAATTTAGAGAACACGAATTTATAATTTGTACTACAAAATACAAATCGTTTTGTTTGGGGGGTTGCAGGTCCGTTTGCTATTCCTATTCAAGTAACTTCTATCCTAAAAAAAGGATTAATATTAAAATTTGAACTTCTGCATTGACTATGTACTAGCCACTTTCTCTAAACCAGCTATCCCTGAAACCAACTCATAATCATTCAGTTACAAACTTAAATTCAAATTATCAATGAGAGATGAATCAACAGGCAAATTTGAACTGCAATCGTTTGAGCAAGCGACAGCAGTAAGCAGACCCCCAGCACAAACACAAACTCCTGGTAAAGAAACAGACCTAACAGAAAGATCACCTCTAGAAGAGACCTCCATTTTTTCTGGGGCCTTGGGGTTCTTTTGTTCATTTGTTTGTTTTTTTCAATCCAGTCCTATCAGCCATCCTTGTGTTCTTATAAAAAGTTGTTTTCCATTTCCAATTGATGACATGTGTTCAAGCTACTAACAAGTACATGTTTCAATCTATTAACAAGTATATATAGACTTGCAATCATTAAAACATAGTGAAGAAATAAAATAACTATTAATTCTTTTTGTATATCAAGGTTATAGTTAAAGATTTTATGTAATGATTTTACCTGTACTACATATTCAATGCTGGAGAACTGAGGTAAAAGTTCAGCTGGCTGATTCATTTCAGATATGCCAGCATAGGTTGGAGGAAACTGGAAATAAAAACACAGAAATTGAGGATAAACGAAAGATTATAACTTCTACAGAAACAAAAACATAGGTACGGACTACTTTCCTCTGCAACAGATGTTCCCTGTTCCCATCATGAAAAAAATTTCAATGCAATCTCTGAAGATACAGCTGCACACTTGTGCTCTTGCTGTGAATTTCAGTTTGCAAGTACAATTTGAAGAGTAAGGATTTTCACTTTTACCTTACAAAAAAAGACTTTCTATGTCATGTTCGTTTCATGCTCTTACCTGATTTCTCTGATAACAGAAGTTGCAAGCCCAGAGTTTTGCTCGATAATCCACCTGGCTATAAAAATACAAGAAAAGCATGACCAATTATTTTTCCTCCGCTGACCCTAGGATAAGTTTCTTTTATTTTCTAAAAAACTCATTGACTTTGAAAAAGCTTGTTCCTAATATACTTCTCCTAAATACCCATATTACAAATTCAAAATAAGTGTAATCTTACATGGACATATGTTATGGTTTAAGGGTTACCAGCC